GTTTAGTTTCATGCTCGGTTTCACGGTTGAGTACAGGCCCGGAACTAAAGTGGCTACGCACTGAGTCGTAACCCTGTTGATGAGCCCCAGGATACACAAGAAATCGATATTCTCGAGATCCAATGAAGACTGGGTCTTAGCTACACAATTAAAAGATGATAGTTGCAAGCACCTAATAGAATTTTTATCGAAAAAACCACAAGATCACGAAGAGCGGCAGATTCACAAAGAATATGAGATGAAAAATAAGAAGACTCCAAATGGACTTAAGTGGTACGTACCTAAGGCTGCTCGACGTGTAGTAACCACGACAATATGGGATATTTTGTAATAGAAAAGAACTTGAAAAACAGGAAATAATTACTGGTTTCCTAGAATGAAAAATACGTAGGCCGTTATATAACCGCTTTCCTACAAAGTGCTTATAATAAAGCACCAAGTGGAAGAAAAGGTTTTCTGCATCCAATCCCGAAGGCAACTATTCCTATGGATACAATACACGAGGATCACTTAGAACCTTTCGTGAAGAGCACGATAAACCTACCTAAACTTTTTCTTGTTAAAACACTCCAAATTGGAGCACCCTGTACAAGGCCCAATTAAAACTAAAAATTATTGGGGCTACAAAATATAATTAATGTTTGAGGTAAACACAACAAACATGTTTTAAAACTTTGTGCATTTTGTTTGGATTATGGATATGACACCTAATTTTACTCGATCAAAAGATTCGTTTCAACGTTGTAGCCGGAAATACAAATGAATTTTTAATTTGTTGATCGATGGCTGCACTAAGCAAAATGAGTTGACCGGCTGGGTCCCTTGTATGGTGTTTCCGCTTCATTAAAATGTATGATCATTGTTTGCCGAAAACACTCTTATCTAATTTTGCTAATTTATAGTTATTCTGAAGTTATTATTTTTCGCCTTCTTCCCCAAGTAGCAAAACAATTGGGAAAAAAAAAACAAGGGAGAAATTGCTCTATTCTATTTTTATGTCTCGTTTCTTTCCGTACTTTTGGTTGACATTTTTCTTAAGATTAGTTTAATGGCGAGTAAGAATACTTACATCGTGCTTTCATGTTAGATACGCTTCTCTTGTTTTGGGTCAAATAAATCCACGATTTTAAAGTGCCGTGAATTCGAATTGAATTTCGCGAAGATCTTAATTTTAATGGAAATCATTGAATATCTAGACTAAAAGCATCTTGAGCAAAACCAAACAGAATAAAGCTTCTTCGCATAAAATAAAATCAAAAAATATATAAAAGCTGAAATAATTTGATGCCTGTGCTCAAATTTGGAAACCATTGATCATCCGTTTATTAATAACATTACAATAGAATGTGATACCGAATGCAATGTTGAAAGGCCATTTATCATTAGTAATTTGGTTGGGGAACACTACATTTTATTATCGTGTTGTTGGAGCGCGTTTGGGGACCTTTCGCATCGAATAAGTCGATTGTTTAATTATGAAGTAGACGGATTCTATCGATTGAAAGGAAAATAGAAAATGGTAAGGACATGACCTATTAAAATATACTGGGTGTCTTAAAGTCTTTTGCGTCTTATAATAGAAAATTTGATGAATGCATTAAATTTTTCAATTTTTTGAATGTTATTCATGGACGTGCGTAATGGTAAAGTCAATCGGACGGGCACACACCAGGCAGAAGCCGCTGTCAGTCTTCATTATTGGTTGGCTTGAGCTATTCATAATAATGCTGTATGTAGTTCAATGAATTTACCACAAGTTTGGGTACTTCCATGAAGAGAGAGTATTTAGCAATTGGAAATGGATAATTCGCTCCAAGTGCGGTCTTAATGACAGTACATGGCACTGAAGATATTTCACGAGCACAGAGAGAAGCCTACTTCAAGTGACTTTGATGCTAAAGTAGAAAAAGACAAGGAAAATTATATCAACGACTGAAACAGATAGAAAACGAGGAGAAAGACCATTGAATTACCTCCAGTATGAACAATTACCTTGCATAAATACATAGTTGCAAAAGCCACTAAAAAAATGTGGACTTGGAGAAGTCCAGACTCATAAGTCAAACATTAGATTGATTAGGTAAGTTATCACTAATCGGAGGTGCATTGTACCTAAACGACGTTCTGACCGTGAATAAATTTAATACTGAGTGAACATAGACATACTAGATTACAAATTTAATAGAAAATATATACAATAAAGCAACATTAACCGTAATATTTTTGCTGGCAGTTGCGACAACATCTCTCACTTGTGCAAGTCTTGAAAAGAAAGTAAACGTCACATCAGTGACCACATAGGAAATAAACAAACACGCAATAAATGTGGTCGTGGGTGAATAACCCACTATAGTACGTAATTCGTGTACTAAAGCAATTACGCACCCATAGAGTCTCTTTCAATCGTGCGCTTTTTTTTGCAACCCTCGTCACATTATATACTAGGACTCCTATACGATAGCTGGGCACTATTTATTATTAACATAGAAAATATGAAATGTAATGCATTAAAATTTCAGTTTAATGCCATTCTCGAGGTTGATCAACAAGAAAGGGTGTCTCAACAAGAACTTGAATTTTAAATCGCGCGCCATTTCTATCGGTCAAGCATCAAGTCTGCCATATTTAGACCGGTGCATAACGACCATTTTTTTGAAACGATTTTCTCCCATCTGCCATTAAGGGTGGTTATTCTTCATGCAATAAAAAGTGGAATGGCTGAAATTTCAAAGAGCCCCGCGTGTGACAATACAATGATATGCTAATTTGAAAATGTAATGAAAAGTGGAGATTTGGATCAATATTATCCCGTCTGCCACACATTGTGAGGGTAATTTAAACAAAAATTAGTAGAAGGAAGCTAAGCGGAAACCCTAGGTTAGGATAAAGTGTCATATATCATATCATATTTTAAAATGTCGCCAAAATCGGACATGTGGATCAACGACCTCCCGTCTGCCAAATTAAAGTTATGTTACATTTACGATGTAATACATCAATAAGTAGATGGCAGAAAATCTCGGTTGGTATAATAATATTTAACAATCTTTGAAGTTGTACCAAAATGCTGAGATGTTGAAACAATTTTCTCCCGCCTAAAACATGTTTTGTTACAATGGATTTTAGATAAATAATGTACCTTTACACCGGCAGAAAAATTGAAGTGGTACAGATATTTATTTTTAATTTTTCAAAATGTCAAAATTTCTCAAATTTGAGATCAATTATTTCCCGTCTGTCATTAATTTATATTAAATAAGTTGCTACCAAAAGCTTAAGTTTTGACTGGCAGAAATTGCAGACTGGTACAAATCCTAATAAACAATGAACAAAATTGCGACAAAAATTGTTTATTTTCAAACGTCATATAACAGTAATTTTTGTGATCATTTTGACAAGGTATAAGTGTCACTTCAATGAATTTCAACTTGAGCGGCGTATAGGTGTTATACTCCGCCGGAGTATAACACTTACACGCCGTTACACATGTTTTTCCATAGTGATTTAAGGTAGTTTACCTGGTATAGGTGCTTATAAAGGTGATCCTTCTGAAACATTTTTTTTTTTTCTAAAGATACAATTTTTTATTGTTCTGCCTTATCATATTTAGGCATCTTGAGAGCTACTTTAATTTTAATTACCCGGTTGTCAGACAGGAGAAAGTTGTTTGGACACATAAACATTTTTCGCAATTCAACAATAATTGTGCAACGTATGTAGCTCATTGCGGTTTCTGCCGTATTGAGAATATGCATATTCTCATAACTACATTTCACTGAAACAAACGGCAGGCGGGTTAAAAACGTTCATGATATGAACAATTTTGGTTCCAATTTTGTTCATCAATTATAAAAACTTGTATCAGCCTGCAATTTCTGCCAGTCGAAATTTAAGCTTTTAGTAGTAGCTAATTTAATATAGATTATTGGCAGACGGGAAAAAATTGATCTCAACTTTGAAAAACTTTGTTTCAACATCTCAGCAGTTTGATACAACTTCAAAAATTGTTAAATATTATTATAACAACCGAGATTTTCTGCCATTTCCTTATTGATCTCATACATTGAAATGCAACACAAATTTAATTTGGCAGACGGGAGTTCGTTGATCCACATGTCCAATTTTGGCGACACTTTGAAATTAGTAATATGACACTTTATACTAACCTAGGGTTTCCGCCGTTTAGCTTCCTTGTACTCATTTTTGTTTGAATTACCTTCACAATGTGTGGCAGACGGGATAATATTGATCCAAATCTCCACTTTTCATTACATTTTCAAATTAGCATATCATTGTATTGTCACACGCGGGGTTCTTTGAAATTTCAGCTATTCCACTTTTTATTGCATGAAGAATAACCACCCTTATTGGCAGACGGGAGAAAATCGTTTTAAAAAAATGGTCGTTATGCACCGGTCTAATTGGGCCTGTGTATTCGGTGAAAGCATCGACATTTACTAAAATTCCGCGTTACACTCTTCAGGAACGTTAATTAATTGTAAAAATTCATTACAGAAATGGAGAAAACTTTACATTAACAATGCGCAGATGACGAGAACATTTCGGCACACATAATCGTTCGTCACTGTTGAAAACTTGATCAACAAATTTGAGCGGACATTTGCAATGAGAGACGAGACAAGTGACAAATAAATTTTGAAAAAGGATTTCATCTTCATGTCTACACAATACAGTTGACACAAGAGCTGAAGCCAGCCGATCATAGACAGCGCAGAACGTTTTGCCAAGTGGATATTGGAACAACACGACCATGCATTCCAAACCAAAATAATTTTAAACGATGAGGCGCACTTGGCTTCAGCTCTTGTGTCAACTGTGTTTTGTAGGCATTAGTGTACTGCGAAAGATGGGTTTGTTTTGTTATTTTGAGGAGTTGCAAAAAAGGCAAGGCAAATATAATGTCTTATTCATTGCAGATAATTCTGTTTTGGATTAACCCGTCACGGTATGAGAAATGCCCAGATAATAGAGAATCTTACCTGTAGAGTACTTGATCAGTCTTATCGGTAGACAAAATAATCAGTTGATTCGCTTTCGATTTCGCATATTTCAAGGCGTAGGGTAGTACGCCTTCGTCAGTTTGCCACGTGACGTCTGGTAAGGGAACGGACTCGATTTCAGGAAGATTGAGTATAGCTGCACTTCCTTCTGTCACTGACATCGTTCGTTCGGTTTTATCATTGAACACACCCATGTCTAAAAACAAATTATATTAAAAAAAAATTATATGAACTGAATTGTATTTTAAAGAATGAGAAAAACATTTTTAAAGGGTTACGAATCAAAAGGATGCAATAATGAATCCTTATAAAAAGAAGAGGCGAAAACAAAACTGAAGTAATTATTTTCTCGCAATCCAAAAGGTTCGTATTCATGCATTCACCATTATTTAACCAATAATATGCTGAATGAATAGGTAGAATGCATGTACTCAAAAAGTAACATAGTCCGGTGGAATAACTCGGAGACGGAGATGAATATGTATACACAATGTTGATATCATTAAAACTTTTGCACAATATTTATGCTGGATTTCAAAAGAAAAACAATGAATTATTATACTTACATGCTACAACAATTTTAACTTCTTCGCTAAGTATCGAGCCGATTTTATTCGAAGCAATACATCTATAATTTCCTCCATCTTTATGACGGGCCGATATGATTTTGTAGAAGGGGTCGGTGGAGAATTCGGTTATTGCAACCCCATCTTTTATCCATTGGAATTGGGGTGGTGGATTACCTGAAACAAAAGAAAGGATGGTCAGAATAATCAGTCTAGAATATAATTTTATTGACCTAATAGGTCTTCTAATGCAATGCAATACACGTGCCAATAATTAGTTTTCACATTCAAAAAATAGATACTATTCGAAAAACAATTGATGGTTGCTAATATTTGACTATATAGTATCATACAATCGCAGAATGTTAGAATTTCCTGAAAAATATTCACTAACACCTCAGTTTCCTTCCTAGCTAGGTTCGTCTTAAAGCTAATAACTAACTTCACAGGTTTTGCCCTAGAATTTGGTTTAAAAAATTCCATTGAGTTAGTGAACAAATTCGTCCAACTTCAGCTACCATGAAGTTACCTGCTAGTATCTTTTGATGTCTCAAATCTTTTTACCAGAGTGCCCAAATCCCACACTGGTGACCTTTTGAAAAGCAAAACAAATGACTCCAATACCACATCCATACTCTCTCTCTTGAATCTCTGCCTTTCACAGGATTTTTTTGTCTTCAACAATAAATTCTATCAACAGCCTTATGGCCTGGCCATGGGTAGTTGCCTTTCGCCTTTTCTAGCAGACATCTTCCTGGATTATCTTGAGTCCAAGTTCATTATCACCGACGCCAATAGGGAATATTGCACTGGTATAGGTACGTGGACGATTGCCTTTGTTTTCTTAATTATGTGATGCCGAGGTAGCGAGTCTTCTTCTGAATGAGTTGAACAACCTCCGCCCCAATATTTCCTTCACTATGAAACTCGAGGTTGAGGACAAATTAAATTTTCTCGATCTAAACATTCACAAGGACTCAAATGGATTAAAATTCTCAATATTCAGGAAACCAACCCAAACTGATCATGTGATCCCTTTCCACTCTAACCATCCCTATCAACACAAAATGGCTTCTTTTCACTGCTACACTCATCGTCTATTGAGCATACCTATGTCCCCCGCTAGCTACAATCAAGAATTAAAAACTCTCTAACAAATTGCTTTCAACAACGACTATGACCCCAGCCTGGTTGAGACCTTGATCACCAAAATCAAGCTTAGGAAACTCAAAAAAGAAATATTTCCAAACAAACTTCAAAATAAAAAATACATTTCAATCCCGTTTATTAATCCATCGCTGAACACTTAAGCAGGTCTAATTCGGTATTTGGTGAACATTTAAAATCCACAAATCACACGTTTAGCCCTGGATCTAATTCAAAAACTCACCAAATTAGTTACAAGAACGACAATCGCCTAGATTTTCTTGAAGGACATCCACATAGTTAATGAGCTGGAAAGTAACCCCTCTTGTTTAAATATTCAAGTTAACCTTAATAGACCTTACATCCCTCTACATAAGAGATTACATAAATTACATCATAGTTAATCCACTTTGATGTACTGGAGCCTGCTTTTGCTAGATTTGACCCTTGAAACTGGGCTGGAAAATCCATAATTAGAAAGACAACAACTTTCAATTTTTTTTTAAAAACCTGTCATCTTCTCTATCAATATTTAATCTAACCTCTTCAAGCGGAGTATTTTCTTTCATTACGTTGGCAACACACCCGCCACTGGAGTCTATTCTGTTGGCATCTCTGCATTGTTACCACCTGATGGAGTGTCACTATGAGATATCACATCATAACAACACTTCTTGAACAAGGATAGTGACCACCAAAATGAATTAAGGGATTCTGTAAAGATGACGTCAGTCCGTCAGTGGGGCTTTGAAAGTTCAACGAAAAGCAAAATGTGATTTTGCTTGACACCACGTTTCTAATTTGCAAGCAATAATTGCCTATTTCAGGGTAAAGCCTTCAACACTTTCTCCCCTTCAATGCATTGGGACTTTATTGTTTCTGTCTGTCGCGATTTTTAATGTGTAGTCCAGTCCTTTTACAAAAAAATGTTTACAACTTTTACATATATTTGATAATTTACTATTTACAATGTATGCTTGTTGCTATATTTGTCCATTCAGTGGTTCCTGTGCACTTTAACTGACAAGTGAGTACAACCTTCTCTTTCAAATTTTGGTTCGTGCTGCATCTGCCGTACACAACCACATCGCTTCACGGAACAGATTTTTCAGCTGACCTTGTCTCCCTTTCAGTTAGCACTGAGGATGGCCGAGAGGCCGGAAGCGCTCTGCCAAGATAATTATTAAATTGATTTGCTCGAAGTACATTGGTTTGATTTTCCTAAACCTTTAAAATTAGTTGTAACAAATATAAGACAAAGTTGACGTTGCTTATTGCTCTGTTAAGTGAAGGAACTGTGATTCCAATTCTACTCATGCTCACAATAACGATAAAGTTGAGCAGAGATAAAAAGGAAGATGTATTCAACCAGAGTATGAATAATGACAAAATTAGTTGAGGCGGCTGGTATGGTATGGCATGGTATCCTGAAGCAGATGCGAGAAGTTCAACCTTTTCAAAAAGTATGTTGAGATTTCTCCCTTATTTGTCTGATCTGAGAGATTTCTTGTTGGTTTGAGGATAACATTCATATTAAGTTTGTTCAAGTTTTTTCCAATCCTGTCCATCACTTCAGATATAAATGGCATATATGCGCTGGGCTAGTGATCACTAGTTTCTCATTTAAATCTTGTTGTGAATAAGGTAGCATTAGCAATCTCAGATGCATAAATTTAACGGAGGCACCTGAGCCTGGGAACTTTTTCGATACCGTGGGAAAATCTCTAGATCGGTGGCGCCTTTTATCTGAAGTTTCGGGGGTTTGACCCTGGCCAACTTCAAATTTTTGAGGGTTTTCCCGGAATTTGACCGCAGCTCCTTATCTCATGGTGTCATCTTCAAACCACAAATATCGTCCATCATCGGGGCGTCGTCGTCTCGTAATCCATCGTATAAAAAAGTCTAGCCCAAAATAATTTATCCTATAGGAAAGAGTCAATGTACTTTATGGTTTAATTAATAAATTTTTTTCGAGAAAAAGCATGTTCTTTCTCTATAATTGTCAAAAATATGTATGACGTCATCCTTCATAAGCCCCTTATGCTAGATTTCAAATTTACCATTTGACAGCTGGTATTTTACATGTGCCAGCTGTCAAAAGTGACAGATGACAGGTGTTGATACCTCGTGACTTGTTACCCCGTACAAAATGACAGGTACCTCGTGACTTATTATCCCATACAAGATGACAGATATCTCATGACTTGTGACCCCGTACAAGATGACAGCTGTCAAAAATGACAGGTGAGGGTTGGCAGGTAACGTACGTCAAAATACCGGCCACGACCTAAAATATGGCATAGCACACGTGGCCATCATTTGGGTTAGTTCAGAGATTCTCTACTGATGACGTATTGGCGTCGATCATTTGGGTCAGTTTGGGTTGGTTCAGAGGTTTTTTACTGATGACGCATTGGCGTCGCGACGCCATGGTTGACGCATGCGCAGACATCACGGAGGCGTCGGAGGATGCAGAACGAACCATGTATATCTACTTCCATTAAATTGAAAGGCTGACTTGAGGTGCAGGAGGATTTTTCTTCTCGAAAATCTTCATAGAAATTGGCTGAGCTAATTAGACTTCCCATAGATAAACTGTCTTTTTGTTCGAAACAGTCATAATTCTTCGGAAAGTAACTGCCTGTCAGGTAAGCCCGACAGAGCTATATCATCTTGACATCAAATCCACGTCAAACCTGAACAAAAATGTTCAGGCTGGAGAATTATGTCGTGAATCTTCTTGACAATGTGAGTCGAGTCCTTGATGGAGGAGTCCTTCCTACACCCGGTGCTCTCACTATCGATCATAGCGGTAGCTCGGTTTTGTGAATTTTTGCTTCAGCTTTGGTTTTGATGATAATTTTCTGAACCGCATCTGATATGGTGGATGTCTTGACCAATTTGTTGATATTCCGTTATTTGGCCTGCGAACGATCTGAGGAGCTTTCAAATGAGATTACCGAAGTGGTTTATTGTAAGTTTATTTCTTTTGAGTAGAGATGCACATAATAGAAGAGAATTACCGGCACTGAAACAGCGCATTAGGCCAGACCTACTAAAACAGACGAACAAAAACACCCCTGGAAACCGTTCCAGATCAACAAAAATTATTCTCCTTGTGTTCACACAACGGAAAGTCCCAAAATTTTGCTGCGTATAATGCGACACAAAAGCTTCAAGTAGATTACGGAATAAACACGATAAAAACAATAAACAGAACAAGCATTTTGGAAAAGGCCGCTTTAAATCGGCACCGCGGACCGCCCGTCGGCCGTCAGCGTGTGACGGGTTTAAAAAAAAAGTCGAAATATTTTGTTAAATCAGCATTTTAAAATGGAAAATGCTTTTTATTGGATTAATAGGGGGTTGATTTGAAAAAAAAAAAAATCAATTTCGGAACGCAGTTTTTATGGGAATTAATGAAAATGTAACAATGGGTATTTTTTCATGGCATGTTTCAATATCTATCTGGTTAGCTCAAAGTACTTTTGAAAATTAAAAATAAGCCTACTTAATTACAGTTTTTTTATTTTTTTCCTTGTTAGCAAAAATTTGAATTTTACCTGATAACCTACCTATCAGCGTTTTAGTTTGTTTCCAGTTCCAGTTTTAAGCTTATACTCATTTTCTCTAAATAGTTCCTATCTATATTTTATGAACTACAGTGCATAACGATATCTTGAGTTAGTACTAAAAACAACCAGAACCTGTAGAATGAGTAAGTGTTCAATATATTCAGATGAAAGTCGGTGGCTACAAAATCTACGCGAAGAGTATCAAACGCTTTCTGTAACTCCTTAACAAGTTTATCAGTAGATTCCAATAGATTAGCTTTACTGAGTGTCACAGTTGTATCGTTTGCATATATAAAAATATATATCCACTGAGACCAGAAAGGGCAAAGGTACCTACCTATGAAGACCTATGTACACATTAGATTCTCTAACATGCCGAAGTCTATTAGTGAGGTAAGATACAATATACCTAGAGGAAAATCAAATAAATAGCGGAAGTATCGCTCAGAAATCAGC